TCACACAACTGCTTGACAACTATGACAGGGCCTTGGAGACAATGAGAGACAAGAAAGACCCATATATACACAGACCTCGCGAGAATTTTCAACAAATGTGTCCATGGTGCTATTGCACACGGAAGGAATAACTGATAGAGTAGGAAGATAGAGGGAAGCAGTTCCCGTGGCGTAGTGGTAAATCACTTTCCCGGCGCTTCGATAGCGCTTTGGCCTGGGTTCGTATCTTGGCCGGGGAGAATTGAGCGGTTGCCAATCCTTAACTGCACTTGTGGTCGATCTCGAACCCATTGTTGATGTGACGACTTATACTGAATTCTGTAACTAGCTCATCAAGATTGTAACTTGCTTAGCTAAATGAATTGTGGGGTTCAGTCCCTGAGCCCATTATGTGCCTCTGTAACCCTTTCCACTACCGCCCACAAGATGGGTATGGGGTGCATAATAAATGAACTAAACTAACTAACTTAACTGTAGAGATAAATGGGTACCACCTAGTTGTTAAACTATTTAGCGGGTCGTATTTCGGGGCAAAGATTAGGATTAAGGACCTGCCTGAAACGCTATACATATTTGTGGCTGTACAAGAATGTAAGAGCATGTTATCTTGAGGTTATCTTGAGATGATTTCGGGGCTTTAGTGTCCCCGCGGCCCGGTCCTCGACCAGGCCTCCACCCCCAGGAAGCAGCCCGTGACAGCTGACTAACACCCAGGTACCTATTTACTGCTAGGTAACAGGGGCATCAGGGTGAAAGAAACTCTGCCCATTGTTTCTCGCCGGCACCCGGGATCGAACCAGAGACCACAGGATCACAAGTCCAGTGTGCTGTCCGCTCGGCCCCTATAAATTTATTATTTATTATTATTATAAATTTATTGTATAAATAAATAAAAAAATAGAACAAATTTCCAAACCAATAGAGCCCAAAGTCTTTGACTTTTCAAGACACGAGTGTCACCTTGGTGGCACCTTGGTGGCACCTTGGTGGCACCTTGGTGGCATATTGTTGCTCTCAGTCAAAGCTAGAGAAATTGTTGACCTGGATAATGTACAGATCTTTAACTGCCTAAATCCGTTCAACAAAACATCTAAACTATTGAGACCACTTATTAAAAAATCACTGAAATTTTCAAATACATCACAATGTGCACCTGAAAAATAAAGAGGGATTGGTTCCAAATTTGCACACGGACAAAAATCCTTACGAGACCAGGAGTGGATGGCAGAAAGTGTAAAAAAAAGACCCATTTAAAACTAGAAGTGCAATAGGTACTCTTAACAACCTATTCTATTTTGTAAACATTAAATCCCCCATGGCTTTCCAACACCGTTGGAAATACACACGGCAAAACGGGACCCCTTTCAGCACTCAAGAGAAAACTTTGTAAAACCCCTGTAAATAGGTACCTAATGGAGCGGACTGTGACTTGTACATCAGACTGCGTGTAGCGGCCTCCAACAACCACGAACCTAGGCCAGATTCACGAAGCAGTTACGCAAGCACTTGCGAACCTGAACACCTTTCCTCAATCTTTGACGGCTTTGTTTACAATTATTAAACAGTTAATGAGCTCCGAAGCCCCAGGAGGCACTTTATAACAATAACAACAGCTGATTGGGAAGTTTTCATGCATGTAAACCGTTTAATAAAAGTAACCAAAGCCGTCAAAGATTGAGGAAAGGTGTACACGTTCGTAAGTACTTGCGTAATTGCTTGGTGAATCTGGCCCCAGAAGGCCTGGCTCGCCGGCACATGAACCCTGGGAACTAACCCAAGGTAACCACTACCTTAATTGTCCCCGCTGGCCACTGGTGGCGCTTGAAGCTCTATCACTGCACTCAATTGACAATGTAAAGCATTAAACAATTCGTGGCGAGTCCGGAAGCACAATTGGGCAAGTTAGGGAAGGCCGAAGATGACGGCCTGGCGGGCGGCGCCGTGTGGTAATCTCCAGAGACTTCCGGACGGTGGCGGGGGGACAACCCGTCCCTCCTCTTGCCTAACACTTCGCATACCATACGGAATCGAAAAACCAGTAACAAAGCGACGAATTTGTAAAACAAAAAATGAGCATCGTAATACTGATTATTTTGTATGTATCTGTCTTTATGTTAGGTGGGTAACTGGGTTTGTACGTTTCTTCTTATACCCAGCAGCTGCTTTTGTTACGGAGTGACAGACAAAGAATGTTACTACTGGTGGGTTACGCAAGTCACAACTGCATTATCGCCATCACAACTACCAGTGGACCAGCGTAACTACCCGAGACCTACACATAACTACCAGAGACCCACACATAACTACCCGAGACCCACACATAACTACCCGAGACCCACACATAACTACCCGAGACCCACACATAACTACCCGAGACCCACACATAACAACCCGAGACCCACACATAACAACCCGAGACCCACACATAACAACCCGAGACCCACACACAACTACCCGAGACCCACACACAACTACCCGAGACCCACACATAACTACCCGAGACCCACACATAACTACCCGAGACCCACACATAACTACCCGAGACCCACACATAACTACCCGAGACCCACACATAACTACCCGAGACCCACACATAACTACCAGAGACCCACACACAACTACCCGAGACCCACACACAACTACCCGAGACCCACACATAACTACCCGAGACCCACACATAACTACCCGAGACCCACACATAACTACCCGAGACCCACACATAACTACCCGAGACCCACACATAACTACCCGAGACCCACACATAACTACCAGAGACCCACACATAACTACCAGAGACCCACACATAACTACCAGAGACCCACACATAACTACCCGAGACCCACACACAACTACCCGAGACCCACACACAACTACCCGAGACCCACACACAACTACCCGAGACCCACACACAACTACCCGAGACCCACACACAACTACCCGAGACCCACACACAACTACCCGAGACCCACACACAACTACCCGAGACCCACACACAACTACCCGAGACCCACACACAACTACCCGAGACCCACACACAACTACCAGTTTCCGAGGTCATCCTATGGGATGACCTCGGAAACTCCCCATAGCTCAAACGTATAATAATCATTTATGACGAGAAAATTGTATAACCTCAGTTATGAATAACTCTGGGAAAATGACCTAGATAAGACAATTATCTTACAACGGCTCTCCACAGGAAGTGGAAGTCAGTATCAAGACACCAGGCCGCCAGCAACAACAACTAATATTTTCAATGTCATCCCAAAAAGTACCAAATTAATTTGATCAAAATTTGAATGAAGGTCCAGGTGAGTACAAAGACAAACTATTTAGCATGAATTAAACATGCACACAGGGACACAAGTGGACCTCAGAGGAATTGACAGGGTAGATAAGAGATAAACTGTTTAACACGGGTGGTACGCGAACAAGGGGATACAGGTGGAAACTGAGTACCCAAATGAGCCACAGGGACGTTAAAAAGAACTTTTTCAGTGTCAGTAGTTAACAGGTGGCATGCATTAGGCAGTGATGTGGTGGAGGCTGACTCCATACACAGTTTCAAATGTAGATATGATAAGAGCCCAGTAGGCTCAGGAATCTGTACATCAGTTGAGAGGCGGGACCAAAGAGCCAGAGCTCAACCCCCGCAAGCACAATTAGGTGAGTACAGGTGGAAACCGAGTGCCCAAATAAGCCACACAGACATTAAGAAAGAATTTTGTTCTCAGTGTCAGGGTAGTTAACAAATGGAATGTATTAGGCAGTGATGTGATGGAAGCTGACTCTAGACAAAAGTTTTAAATGTAGATATGATAGAGCCCAGTAGGCTCGGAAATCTGTATACCAGTTTATTGACAGTTGAGAGGCGGGACCAAAAAGCTTAACTTGGGGAGTACACACACACACTGTTGTAAGTGGTGGTACCGTCTTGCCACGAGGGTACATTACCTACTGTAATGTGTTCCCACTAGTTTAGATTATCAGTGCCATGATGACCAGACCACACATCACAAGGTGAAGAGACGACGACGTTTCGGTCCGTCCAGGACCATTATCACATCTTCAGCCAACGTCTGCTTATCAGTGCTACATTAAGCAAGTGGCTGAGCTCTAAAATAACATTACTAGATGCATTAACATTAGCTTAAATGTGGATGTACATATGAACACCTACTACACCTACAGTAGGTGATATACAAGTATCACCTACTACACCTACAGTAGGTGATATACAAGTATCACCTACTACACCTACAGTAGGTGATATACAAGTATCACCTACTACACCTACAGTAGGTGATATACAAGTATCACCTACTACACCTACAGTAGGTGATATACAAGTATCACCTACTACACCTACAGTAGGTGATATACAAATATCACCTACTACAAGAGAGCGGATGAAGGGGATTGACAACATCGATGCTCACGATACTTTATACCTTCTCACAAGACGCACATCTCTGCATAAGGTAACTTACAAAACTGAGTGTTCTCCGCCTGACTACTACAGTCTAATGCCAGTGTCTTCAACCTTTGTATGACGGCAGAGACGTGCTGCTCTTCCCATCAAGGTTGGTGGACCTTATATTCCTTAACAGCCTCCGTATCCTCTCTAATGACATCTTTAACAAAATCTACCAGAACACGTGTATGCCTTAGTGGAGATGCACAACACTCACTTCGGGCGACTACTCTGTAGGCTGCTCGTCCCCCCCCCCCCCAACACCCAGGCCAGGCCCACCTAAATAAATACCACTTTTAAATAAGACTAGGATTCAACAGGACTGTCTTCCTGTAATTTATACATTCATATCTTATTTTCAAACCTCGTTTTGTTTTAATGTTTACATTTTTTTAACAGATGCATACATGCGTGTAAGGCAGCATTAACCTTGGATAGAACTCAGGGTTGATCTACCGAATATTTACTCGTTCAGAAACTCCCCCTCCCCCGTGCACACCAAGAGACATGTGGAAGGTACACTCACCTGGAGGAAGCAGTCCATGGCGCCGCACAAGACCATCCTTACTCCAGCGGCACCACACTACTGGGACCTCTCTCACACACACAGTTTATAGGCCTTCTCCTCCTGGCACCCGGCCACACCCTTACCCTTGCGACCAGCCTCCTGGCGCTCTGGCGGGACGCTCAACGCCAGGCAAGTGTGGGCGGCGGGCAGGCCAGGACAGGAGGGGGTCGAGGGAAGAAGTCAATGGGCCTCACAAGGGTGATCACCTCTCTGGTGAGGAGCCGCGTCCTGGGAGAAATCCCCACCCACATGAGGCGGTCAGCAGGGGGATTACACCTGCAGTTGTTGCTCTCCTCGGCCCCCCACGCGCACACTCACACGGATATATAGTTCACTTTAACTTTCCAAGTTCACCTGCACTAGCATCGCCACAAATGATGCCATTTAAATGTGTTCAAATACAACACTCATTAACAACAACATAGTGATGACGTCACACGTCAACAATATAAATTAATAATAACAAAGCCAACAATTGAGAAGCATAAATCACAGAAGGATCGAGTGTAGAGGAAACACGACACCACGACTTGTGTGGGATAACACTATATATATGGCTTCTCCCTGAAGCCATAATGTGCTCCGGACATCACATATGCCAGATCCTGGAAGCCATATGGAAAGTATATATCAGGGCTTCACTAAGTATCTAACCATAAGTAACTCCAAAAGTGAATGTATTGCAGATACAAAAACAAAACGGACATCTAATACACGATAAGGGTTGAGGACGGGCGGAAATGTCGTCACTTCTTCTCGTGTGTGTACTCAACCAAGTTGTACTTGCGGGGGTTGAGCTCCGGCTCTTTGGTCCCGCCTCTCATCTGTCAACTGGTGTACCGGTTCCTGAGTCTATTGAGCTCTATCATACCTAAACTTGTGATAAAATTTGAATCTCCAGGTATGCTTCAACAGTTGAGTGGCGGGGCCAAAGAACCGTGGCTTATTCCCTGTAAATACAACTAGGTGCGTACTTACTGGTAAATCACACGGCTTCGCCAAATTGCAACACCTCAATAGATAAGAAAGATAAGACATTTAGATACATGTAGCTTGACTTAAATATTCAGGTAAACAGGTCGACTTAGATATTTAGACAAGAATAGATAAGACAGGTGTATGTGAGGTGTGAAGTACGTGCTGCAGTTATCGAGAGGGCTGGTGGCTGACGCCTGGTGGCTGATTTTTAAAGAGGGTGTGTCAATCAGCAGGAGGGGAGGTGTATATTGGTCACTGGCAGGTGAATGGATAACTGTTTCATTCCTACATTCACCAGCGATGGGTGGCAGCTGTCGGCACTGTCCTCAACCCCCCAATTCTCTCCCGCCCACTAACCTCCCCTCCCATGCTATCCTGTACCCCCATTTCCACCCACATGCCTACGACCTGAGAACATTTTTACCACCCTACGTTATCACTATCACCCTTTCACGCACCAACCTCTCTACGTACTCACACATCAACTCCCTACGTACTCTCACACACGCCCACATATGCGCCAATACCGACTGCCAGCCACAATTTATGAAGCGTGCGTGACGGTATGACCCGGCGCCGCATCTGGCAGTGTGGGGCCCATTAACCATAATGTGGCATCACTGACATTCACACGGGTGCTGGCCGCAGGTGCACGCTCAACCCCGCTTAAAACTTAAAATACATTTTGGGAACACACACGAACGCCCACACGCACATACATACACGCCTGCACCGTGTCTCCCCTCTCCTCTCCTCCCCCTGCCTGAAGATACACTGCCTCTGGCACACACATCAAACACGGCCAAAGCACAAGAGCACACACCCGCATAACAGACTGGTGAGAGACCAAGCCCCGGGGACGTTGATCTTCGCAACCAGCTTATGGTAACCCACCAACCATTCCAGCAGCGCGGGTACTAACAATTTATCCAAAATTTGCTTGTCCATTTTAAAGAATGAAGAACAATTTTTATTGATATTACTTCTAAGCTGCATCACTTATGAACCCATCCCTGCCCTTGTGTGGCAGTGCACAATAGAAAGTTGTTTTCACATATCCATACATTAACACATTGGTTGTAACCGTGATATATATGTACTTCCACCTACAGTTTAGACCTATTGTCTTGTGTATGACCCTCTGTCCTGCGTGACAGTGAATACCAGCATTATCCTCACTTTAATAAGGCTTTATCAAAATCCTCAGATTAGGCAAAATTGTAATTAACTTTGTCAATAAAGATGTTAATAATAATAAGGTATTGAGGTCCGCGTCGCAACCCATTAGCTTTGAGAAAATTGAGTAACGGATGTGAGAGATGACAGACGTGGAAGTAGGCACAGACAAATGGATGGTGAGACACGATGATGATGATTTAGATTCAGCTGCTGGGAACAACATTTCCATGTAGCACGGGCTATAGTGAGCCCGTAATACCACTACTTTTGACCAGTTTCCATAGGTTTTATATTATACGATCAGCGGCCAGGCTTCCACAAGGACCACAAAATGGTGGCGGCCCATTGGCCCACACACACATCACCACCCGCGTGATCAAGCACCTCCAACAACTTCTCTAGTTCCCTCTTGAAAACTCACATTTCTGTTCCCGCAATATTCACAATACTACTTCTAGAAGATTGAAGAATCGAGGACCTCTCAATATGACAGTGATCTTTTGTGAACACTTCAAGTTAGGGTGTGCGCGCTAGCAGCCCGCACGCGCACATTCATCACAACCTGGTTGATACCTGGTTGATGGGGTTCTGGGAGTTCGTCTACTCCCCAAGCCCGGCCCGAGGCCAGGCTCGACTTGTGAGAGTTTGGTCCACCAGGCTGTTGCTTGGAGCGGCCCGCAGGCCCACATACCCACCACAGCCCGGTTGGTCCGGCACTCCTTGGAGGAATAAATCTAGTTTCCTCTTGAAAATGTCCACGGTTGTTCCGGCAATATTTCTTATGCTTGCTGGGAGGACGTTGAACAACCGCGGACCTGGTTGATCTGGCTATTCCAGCAGCAACCTTTAACCGTTATAATGCTCACCTTTGACCCAGCGATATTATGCTGGCTGGAAGACGGTAAAAAGAGTCGGAGAGTCTTGGAGTTTAGTGTTTTTTAATCATACTTATGGCACCAGGACCTTTAATTGGGGTTTATTCTACACTTGCTGCCGTCTTTATCACGTCGGTATATTATGTAATATAGAACATCACTTTTAGGCATTTCCCAGATATAGCGAGCTGTGTCTCGCGTCTGTGTCAGAGCTGAACACCGTGTCTTCCTGCGCTCAGTTGCAAGACTTCATATCTATTTTTCCGTGACTTTTACCGAGAGAATTTTCATGGTGATTTTAGTGCCATTCGTCAATATCTGTTATAAGGATGGGAACGGGTAACAGTGTGGGAACAGTGACTTGTGGGGCCGAGTTTCGTACCGTTCCCGGACTGAATTTGGCTCGATTTACCGTTACTCTTTACCTGTTATTCCCCAATACCTCAGTTTATGTCCAGCGCTCCACGGTCACATCTGCCAAATGCTTCTGCTAAATCTCTGTATGGGCTGTTGATCCCCCGGAAGCTACACACGGTAGACACAAGGTAGGCACACAAGGTAGGCTTACAACGTTGGTATTTGGGCTTGCTTATGATCTAGTGCAGCTGGCAGTCATGTTAAGAATGCTAGGACTCCGGTCCCCGGAGTAGAGTGCGTATGGTCTACTTTCTTGCACAAAACACTGACACTACAATGCAATAAACTTCAGAAAGCATATTTTCCAATACGAAACTGCTACTATTTAACCTGCTTGATGGGGTTATGCGAGTTCGTCTACTCGCCAAGCCCGGCCCGAGGCCAGGCTTGCTCGACTTGTCCACCAGGCTGATGCTTGGAGCGGCCCGTAGGCCCACATATCCACCACAGCCTAGTTGGTCTGGCTTTTCTTGAAGAAAATTATCTAGTTCTCTCTTTTAGATGTCCACAGTTGTTCCGGCAATATGTCTTATACACCGGAATATACAAGTCTTATATTTATAAGCAACCGCTTTTTTCGCTTTTGGCGAAAACCTCCTGCTACACCTACAAAAATAGAGAAGCAGCTCCGATCGATCGTGTTTTGTGCCCGTGTTCCGTTAAGGTCTTGTCTGGAGTTTTGGGGGTTATCTTAGTTTACGCTGAATGAAGTATCTCCTTTGGTTAGCCTCTGTTCGTGAAATGAGTCCACAAGTCTTCCAAGGCTTCCTGAAGTTTGTCGTTACTGATGATGAGCCACTTTGTACGTGTACCCAAGGAGTAGGGTTGCAATTTCTTGAGCGATAGGGAGTGACTCTGTGAGAAATGAAGTTATGAGTGTAGATTTGTTGGCTCGTGGTAGATAGTAGTCTGTAGGCTTCTACTCTGTTCTTCGATATAAACTCTGGTGTCCAGGAAGGAAATAGTGGATTCATCCATTTCTAGGGTGAATTTCAAATCTTCGTGTAGCGTATTAGCCCAGTTGAAGAAGCTACTAAGTTCCAATTCCTGTCGCCCTCCAGCCATCAATATCATCTATGTAACGTAAGTAGATGATTAGATCCCTGGTCTATCTGCATCCTGCTCGATCCCAGCACTGTGTGGACAAAAATCTCAGCAATGGCCACACAACTGGATGCTACTATAGCTGCACCCTTAAAATTTGTCGAAAAGTTATGTTGTCAAAGGTTAGGAGGGCATCCCGCATCACATGCAGGATGGCTTCCTCCAGGAGTTCCTGGGTTGGGGGACCTGAAGACGCCTGCTTGTCTGAGGTCCTGCTTGATCCTTTGTTCCTCTCAATAAATTCTGCTACTGTCCTGGCTGCTGCTCTCTGGGGTGTGCTAGGGTAAGCCTCACGAACAAAATTCGTTACTCAGAAAGAATCCGGTTTTCAGGATGACATAGAAGGGAAAAGCTTTAAAAAATACCAATGAAGACGAAACTGATGCTTTGGAAAATCAGGAAGGTGAAACAATGACTAAAGACCCCGGGAAGAAGCTGTGACTGGCGGAGAAGACCCCAGTAAGAAGCCGTGACTGGCGGAGAAGACCCCAGTAAGAAGCTGTGACTGGTGGAGAAGACCCCGGGAAGAGGCTGCTACTAGACAAAGCGGCCAATTAGGCGCAAGAGTCGACCCTCAATCACTGGAGGAGAAAGTCTGTACACAGTTCAATGTCAGCACTCTTAAAGAAAGCGGCTTTCACACTAATCAGAGCAAGAGTTATACCCGGAAATAATGTTGGCATGTACCTGCCTCATCACCATGCGAGGCGGTTTAGAAAGTGAGAGTGAATGAGTGCGAAGGATTAACCCCAATGAGGGTTGCCGGTGTAACCGGACACGGGTGCTGACGACCCGACTGTTCACTGTAACTGGCTGTAACCCGTCCTTTGGTTATGTTCATTCCATCCGGCCGCCGACCCCAAAGCCATATTCATCCATCTTGACATGCAGCTCATTCAAAATAGGAAGTTTCTCAAATATAAATAATTATTATTATATATTAGCATATTGTGCATATTTAGACATACTGCTGGTTAGGTGTTTAGGTTCTGTTGGCGACTATTCGTAGCACGAGGCTGAAGCGACTCTAGAATCGCCAGTTGCTATTCGAACAGAGGTCGTGCTGCTCGTCGTTCATAAACCAGTCCGTCCTAGAAATAAAGACCCAAAAGTTATTCCATACAACCGATAAACCCGCTGTTTATGAATGAAAAACGGTTTACACACGACTCTCAACTGTTGACGTTCGAACTCTTCCGGAACAAGTGCTTCACTGACGAATTCTGTTCGAACCACAACGCTGTCACTGCTTCACCCACGTACTACAAATACAAATAATCGCCAACAGAACCTAAACACCTTTAGGTGCTTTTAGGTTTAGGTTCACCTTTAGGTTAGCTTAGAACCTAACCTATATATGCACAATATGCTATTATAATAATTTATATTTGAAAAAGTTCCCGTTTTGAATGAACAGCATGTAAACGTTTATGAACGCGTCTGTAGGGTCGACCTACAGACGGAATTGATGGAATTGAGTCGAGGAGAGGTTTTATTAAAAAAGGGGGGGGGGAATACATGGAGTGATCATTGGCCTATAATGACGAGGACGGGCTGGTGGTTGTAAAACAAGTTACGTGACCATACATAGCCACCCTCAGCCCGCCAAAACCAGACAAGTTTGGGAAGCACACGACTAACAAGCTAATAGTACCAGGACTAACAGTACTAAGAAGCCAATAGTGCCATCCACTGCCATTCACCCCCAGGACCAGGCGCTGGGTCCTGGCTTGATTGACGAGAATGACTATTGTGTAGTAACACTGCTTGATACCCTGCTGGATGGGGTTCTGGGAGTTCTACTCCCCAAGCCCGGCCCGAGGCCAGGCTTGACTTGTGAGAGTTTGGTCCACTAGGCTGTTGCTTGGAGCGGCCCGCAGGCCCACATACCCTGCGGTGACCGGTGAACAGGTGAACACCACCGGTGACACCCATACTACTGCTTATCGTCTAAGGTTATCTTGAGATGATTTCGGGGCTTAGCGTCCCCGCGGCCCGGTCCTCGACACAGGCCTCCTTTTTGTTACACACGCCCAGGAAGCAGCCCGTAGCAGCTGTCTAACTCCCAGGTACCTATTTACTGCTAGGTGAATAGGGGCATCAGGGTGAACGAAACTGCCCATTTGTTTCCGCCTCCACCGGGGATCGAACCCGGAACCTCTGGACTACGAATCCCGAGCGTTGCCCACTCAGCTGTCAGGCCCCGTCACGGCGACAAATAGGGCGTTGGGAAATTATTAGCAGGAGTAGCATCTAAAACCTGTACCGGCATTACAAATATGACGTCACACCTCGCCCATACTATATATAAAAATCAACAAAAATAAAAATAAAATCTTTGTGGTTAGATCAGGTTTGGTTACGTATAAAATTAGCGATGACGTGGAGCCGCCCGAATTGTTGACAGGTCTTACACCTTACTCAGGCGAGCCATAGTCGAGTCCAGACACACCGTGGAGGTTGATTGATGAAGATTAAGCCACCCAAAAGGTGGCACGGGCACGAATAGCCCGTAAGTGGTGGCCCTTTTGAGCCATTACCAGTATCAATTGATGATACTGGAGATCTGTGGAGGTGCGACTGCACCCTGCGTGACGGGAGATGTCTCCCGTGCTGTGGAGGTGACTCCGACGTCGGCCAGGGAGGGAGCAGACGCCGGCCAGGGGGAAGCAGACGTCAGCCAGGGAGGGCCAGGGGGGGGGGAACAGAGGCTTCCAGGGAGGTCCAGGGGGGGAGCAGACGTGGGCCAGGGAGGGCCAGGAGGAAGCAGACGCCGCACAAGCAAGCATGTGCACGCTCCAGACCGTAATTACCATCAGCCAAATGCCGCTGTCGTCACACGGATGACACCGGTAGTATCACTTGCTACACACCACACCCAGCTAACTGTGGCTGCAGCACACTAAACTATGGAGAGGGGCGCTAGTGTACACACACACACTCCGCTACACAAATGTAGATATGATAAGAGCCCAATAGCCTCAGGAATCTGTACACCAGTTGATTGGCGACAGTTGAGGGGCGGGACCAAAGAGCCAAAGCTCAACCCCCACAAGGACAACTAGGCGAGTACAAGGAGCCTTAGTTTATTCACCTAGTTCAGTTTGCGGGGGTTGAGCTCTGTTCTTTCGGCCCGTCTATCAATTCCCCCCCCCCTACACAGTTCTATTTTGTGTATACACGAATGAATTAATATAATTTTGTTGTAAAATTATGAATTTTACAACAAAATTATGAAACAGGGGCATCAGAGTGAAAGAAACTCTGCCCATCTGTTTCTGCCGGCGGCGGGAATCGAACCCCACTCCACATGACTACGGATCTATCGTGCTGGCCACTCGGCCACCAGCGCCCTACACACCGCTACACAAGGGGCGCTAGTGTACGTACACACACACACGCGTACACACACACACGCGTACACACACACACGTACGCACGCGCGCACACACGCGCGCGCGCACACACGCGCGCGCACACGCACACGCACGCACGCACGCACACACACACACACACACACACACACACACACACACACACACACACACACACACACACACACACACACACACACACCGCTACACAAATACGCCCACTTGACTGCCACTGACACACCCACACAACACTACGTCACTTCCTCTTCCCGGATACCACATGAAAGGCAACTGTTCTGCATATCAATACAGCCGGAAGAGCCCCACTTACTGTGTGTGTGTGCCACATACACCGCGCGCTGGCCAATATACAAACACAGCTCCATACAAAGGCGCCTAGTCATGTACGGCAGCATTTCAAAACACGCTCACCCGTGCAAAACTAGCAACTCTGGAGAACATTCGTAATTGATATCAAATTCATAATTTTACAAGAAAATTATATTAATTCATTAGTGTATACACAAAATAGAACTGGCCGGGGCGAAGCACTTCCTTCCCAAGTGAGCCAGAGTGAAAGAGTGTGGAGTGAAGTCAAACAACGAGGGCCAGTTTCTCCCAGAGTAACCCAGCCGAGGTAACGCTATAGTGTACACTAGATCACCTATAGGTAAATCCTTCTATCTATTTTGTGGTGGGCCCAACATTATGATGGACGCCATCATCATCTTGCGGAGATGATACTAAAGCCACAAGTATTTCTGAGGCCAGGGCAGGGCAGGGCAGGGCAGGGCAGGGCAGGGCAGGGCAGGGCAGGGCAGGGCAGGGCAGGGCAGGGCAGGGCAGGGCAGGGCAGGGCAGGGCAGGGCAGGGCAGGGCAGGCCAGGCCAGGCCAGGTCAAGGCAGGCCAGGCCAGGCCAGGGCAGAGGTCTAACCAGCAGTCGCCAATCAAGACTAATGAATGAAATGTATTCGTACATGATCCTAAATTCTATACTACAATAATAGCAAGATGCACTGGATGTAACAGTACCGTTTAAGGGGAGAAATATTAGCTTTGATACTCGTGGGGGGACGGGTGATGAACGACTCTCACCCGGTGTAAGATGGTGTGTTGTAGCAGTTAGAGGAGTGCGCGCCAGCAAGACTGTTGCATTTTCCACGGAAGGCAACCACAACCTAAATGGGGAGTATAAAGGGTGTAGGTGTACCAGAGTTCCATACTCTTGACACACCCTCACCCCAGAGGGCCCATGTGGCGAGGAAGAGCACAATTAAACAGCTATTCACACTACACAATCCCGTTCGTCATCACACAAGGGTCCTGTTGATCAGCACCACCACCACCACCAATTTCTACATCACTGCATCGCAATACAAAAACCATCCTTCGCATTTTTCAAGTATTTAAGGTTTAAGTATTTAACATGTTCAAAAATTGGGATTTATATTATTCACGTCCGTAAAATTATTCACTTTTTAAACAGTTTCTCATGGCAATTTGTCTCTCGCACGATGAAGGTGTCGTCGGGGCACAGAGGAGTGCCGCCAGAGGGTGACAATGGTGACGCTACCTCCAGAGGATGAGCGAGAGTGCCAGCAGCCAGGGCCCTGGGATCATCACACACCGGCGGCAGCTCACTCACTGACTGACTGAGCCCCACCACCAGCTCCGCCCACCATAACCCTGGAACCTTCCCCTCCCCGAGCCCCGCCCCCTCTAACCCTAACCTTGCCACCACCAGCCACATAACTTGCAGTGTTTACACCGTGTTCTTGACTTGCTAAGATACTTCCACGTCAATGACTTGCCACACTCCCAGGTGATGGAGTACACTATCTGCATCACAGATAACAATAATGGCCATACTCCCCGCACCACCAACCTACACCAGATCGCCAACATGAAGACCTACTCTTACATCTACGACTAGACCATAGCAGTATATAATATAAATGGTTCTAGTTAGCGATGAAGTCGATAGTTATTTTAAACATATATTGTTAAGAGAATACATTACCTGTCGTCGGTTTCAAGAGTACTGTAATTCAGCTCCGGCCTGGGTCCATCCAGGCTTGTCTGGTCAAGGCTTGGTCGGTATACACAAGTTCATTGCTGGTCAAGGCCCTGGATTTCAGACAGGTGAACAAGTAGTTTGTATTTTGTGCTGTACCTGCTTTATGGGGTTCTGGGAGTTGTTCTATTGCCCAAGCCCGGCCTGAGATCAGGCTTTACTTGGGATACCATGGTCCAACAGGCTGTTGCTTGAAGCGGCCCGCAGGCCCATATATCCACCACAGCCCGGTTGGTCAGGCACTATCTCTTGTATGGCTTTGTTCCAATTGCATTTCTCAAGTCTGGTATGATCGCTTTATCTTCTCCATTTCTTCCTCCTCCATGTTCACATTAGTTTTATTTTGCGAGACTTTCGTGCTACTTGGACCATTTCCGGCACTATTTTCTTTCCTCTCTCGTGTCTCGTGTTCGCCAAGTTAGTTAATCTTCCGCAAAGAAACAGATTTTAAGCAGATTGTGTAAGTTCCGACAGTAGATTGTCTTATTCCTTGTGGTGGAGTTGTGGCAGCTCTGGACCGCTTTCCCTCAGATGTTTGTTAGTTCATTTTGTTCATTTGTCCCAGTCAATCCTTTTACTCCTTAAATTGTATTTACTAAACAGCTATTCCTGTTTACTATGTCAACGATAAAAAACAGATTGGAGCAATGTGGGGATACGAACCCTCGACCCGAGTACTTCCAGACCGCGCACCAGGCCCTCTACCCCCCCCCCCCTCCTTGTGGTCCAGCACCGACCCCCCCCCCCCCACCCTAGTGGTCCAGTGGGTAAGGTACGCAGCTTGGGAGTCTCCAGGTCAAGGGTTGGAACCCTCTCGTTACTGCAACTGATTTTCTTCAGGAGGCCTTACGTGTGTGAGTGTGGATCGCTGCGAGTGTGGTCCCAGAAGCCAGTATATGGGACAAAGGTGTTGCCGGTTGTCTTCAGATTGCGAGCAGTGGCAGCATGTAAGACTACAACCCTTCTTACGTTATTGTAACCAACGTTACAAACGCGGTCTATTAAGTAACGGCATAATGGTTCTAAATTTCAAACACGTACGTGGTGAGAATCTTAGAGGAGACCTAGGAATGTGTAGCCGAGGCAGGAGGAGCAAGGTCAGGGGCAGGATACATCACAGAGCTCATTCACGCCTCTACATTATTACTGCCACTCATCACCAACCTCTCCCCCCACAGTTACTCAACTTCCTCTCTCACACACCTTTTTATCACCTTTCCCCTCCATACTTGTCAAGTTGAATTATTGCAGAGAGGAGGGCGGAGGGAATGATCACACACACAAAGAGAAGAGAGAGAGACATCCGGCCAGAGGTGCTTGATGAGCAGCTTCACCGGGCTCAGGGGGCTCAGCCCCCCGGAGAGGGCTGAGCCTCCTGGCCCCGCTGACTGCCGTGATCTCTCTGCCCGTCTCGCCCCACGCTCCCTCGGGAATCCGCCCCCTTCCTTCATTCCACCTCTTCCTCACTATGTACACACATACCTGCTTCCTCTTGAACAATACCTGCACTTCTCCTTGCTACCCATTGTGCTCTATCGTCTGTGTCCCTCCGTCCGTCACCCCATACGTCCCTCAACTGCTCTTCTGATCAGTGACAAGAAACTACCGTTTGCTTGTGAATTCACCTAGTTGTGCTTGCGGGGGGGGGGGGGTTGAGCTCTTTCCGCCCGCCTCTCAACTGTCAATCAATCGACTGATATTCTCCCCCTTCCCCCAGGAAGTAGCCCGTAACAGCTGTCTAACTCCCAGGTACCTATATACTGCTAGGTAACAGGGGTATCAGGATGCAAGAAACTCTGCCCACTTGATTCCGCCGGGGATCGAACCCAGACCCTAGGATTACGAGTCCCAAGTGCTGTCCACTCGGCCACAGCCCCCCCCCCCCCCCTGCATGCGTCCTGGTGTACTTGTGTGAGCGTCTTTTATAATGTTTAGGAAATGCAATCCACAGGTCTAAGGTAAACACGGCCAGGAATCCAAGCCTGTCATTATCCGTACTCGCCCATAATGCGTACGCCGAGTCATTTTGTTATCAAATTAACGCTTAGTTTCAACACAATGATGCTTTCTCAAGAAATGTTATGGAAGCAATCAAGACAAAAAATAAAGAACAATAGATGGCATGGGGGGGTTATCACTCGCTTTTAGTGCTCCTTATATATTGCTTTGGCAGAAATAGTAATATTAACATTTTACTTTTCAAGTCAATACAATGAGAGAGCTGTATGGAACGTGGACCTGGCAGAAATATATAACAATAAGATGTGTTTTTACTTGTGACAAAGATGTGACAAATGCAGATTTTAAAGATGAGGTGGATGTGAGGAGTGTGGCTTGCAGGGTGACCACCTGGGCTTATGGTGGAGACACGAGGCTTGGAAGACGCAGGGGGGGGGGGGCAAGAGCAAGGTGGGGGTGGGGAGAGCAGGGGGGAGGGGGTGGAGAATCTTACCTGGGGTTCTACTCCTCAAGCCGGGGCCAGACTTCACATGTGATAGCTTGTTCCATATTCTTATGGAACTACAGCTACTCTGAACAAAATGGTCCAAGTAGTACGGGCTATGGTGAGCCCGTAGTGGACTTACCTGCTCCATTAGGCTGTTGCTTTGAGAGGTTCGCAGGTACACATATCCACTACAGCCTGGTTGGTCCGACACTTCTTGCAGGAAACTGTCTACCATTTTCTTGAAGACGTCCATTTTTGTTCCGGTAATATTTCTTACACTTGTAAGGAGGATGTTGAATAACCTCCATACTGTGTTCTCTCATTGTGTCTATGGCACCTCAACTCTTCACTGGCTCTATGGCTCTGTGCTGCATTTCCTGCCATATCGTTCACTCCAGTATGCTGTACCAGTTGATACCTGGTTGATACCTAGTTGATGGGGGTTCTGGGAGTTCTTCTACTCCCCAAGCCCGGCCCGAGGCCAGGCTTGACTTGTGAGAGTTTGGTCCACTATGCTGTTGCTTGGAGCGGCCCGCAGGCCCACATACCCACCACAGCCCGGCTGATCCGGCACTCCTTGGAGGAATAAATCTAGTTTCCTCTTGAAGATGTCCAGTATTTCGTTAAGGTCTTCATTTTTCCATACCCAAGTAACTGGAATGAATCACTTTTTAAATATCATGCCGTTTACCGCTGTCCAATCGACAATATTAATATCGGCTTGTAGTCTGTCAGTGTCTTCTGTACAAGTAATTTTCATTGTGTTTTTGTCATGTACAAGGAGAGGGGGGGGGGCGGGAGGAGGAAAGTGGGGAGAATAGTAAGATGAGAGACAAGAGGAAGGAGAGGGAAGATGATGATAAGGTGGACGGTGGAAGTACAGTGGTGGTGATGGATGGTGATGGTGGTGGATGGTGGTGGTGATGATAGTGGTGGTGATGGTGGTAGTGGAGCGTGTCATCAGCTGCAGTGCGGCCTACACCCTTCTCTACCACAATTACCGTCTCCCCGAGGCCGTTAGCTACTCCTCATTTGGTTCATTAAGACGTTAGCAACATGTGCATGACGGGAGGAGTAGTGTGTTAAGACCTAGCTACGGCACGCTAAACGTCCCCATCACACACGATGGTCAGTCACCCAGGGCCAGGCGATCACGGCCAGGCGATCCAGCCTGCCCCAAGGCCGGGCTCGGGGAATATATGAACTGGATCATACCCCCTCTCCAGGTATGCTCCACTGGTCTCACAAGCAAACTCTGGCTATATTATGAGGATATCCACAAGAACACCAGAGTGAATAAGGCAGCAGTGATACTAAAGAAGTCCCCATCTCGCGGGATGGTTAGTGATACATACCTGCGTGATGCCTGCTGGGGTTGTGGAAGTTCTTCTACCCCCACAAGCCCAGCCCCAGGCCAGGTTCGACATGGTACTACGGCTACTGACCGGCAGACTCTAGCCAATACAAGAAACTACCACACCACCACCAAGCTCAAGCCCCGACCTCGGCCACCAAGAACATGCTTGCTCCTCAATGGGTGGAGCCAGGATTTGGGGGAGGGGCCAGGATTTGGGGGTGGGGCTAGGATGGAGGGGAGGGGCCAGGATGAGGAGGAGCCAGGATGAGGGAAGGAGGGTGGCGGCAGGAAGAGGGGGAGAGGCAGGGAGAGATAAGTGTGAGGGGTTAAGAGAGAGGGGCTACGATAAAGACGATATACGACGGAGGGAGAGGACAGCGGAGGGAGAGAAACGACATGTTTGAGAAAGATGAAGAAGCAAAACAAGGAGACAGTGAGTGAGGGGACGGTCGGTGAACGGACTAGGAGAGAGAGAGAGAGAGAGAAGGGGGAGGAAAGTGGCTAGTGGAGGGGGGAAGAAAGATATACACGTGATGGTTCAACAGCTCCCAGGCAAACGTAGCTTAACCAGAGCTGCGGCAGGAGCCACATCCTCCCCCGAGGGAGGGAGGGGGTGTGGCCACCGCCAGCCCCACCTCCCCCCCCCCCACCACACCAACCACCAGGCCAGGAGAAGAAATGGCACAAAGCAGGTCTCATAAATACCTAATGTCTTAGAAATTGAAATAAGTTTATTGAGGTAAAATACACACAAAGGGATGAGGTAGCTCAAGCTAT